TGGTTAAAGCCGTTGGTTAGATCCAGTGACAGTACCCAAAGAGTATGAGTTCAATACCCGGTTAAGGCAGTGGAGAACTTTCAGAGGGAAATAACAGGAGATAACTGATAACTGACATTCATTAAAAACATGGCACGTGGAACTAGAACAGTCTACCCCACTGAGCGAAATAAAGGGTTCAGTTCGACATTCCAACCACCTGAAGAAGGCCGGAGCGTACAACGGCCGAAACGTTGTAATAAATATGGCGACAAAAATGAGGACAATAGTTCGAATAATGTACATAATACCTCATCTCAGAAATATAGACAGATACAAGTTTATTTATTTAACATACAAAATGCACCAATTATTTTAAATGTAATTTAATGATTAAAATAACAAATACTTATTCAATAAAAATGCAGTGTTGTGTTTTTTTTTTGTTTTTTTTTTGCATATCTTTTCGTTAAGTTTTTATATATACAAGAATCCAGTTTTTTGCATATCTTTTCTTTAAGTTTTTATATATACAAGAATCCAGTTTCTACTTCGCCCTGTGTTTGCAAGAGCCATAAATAAACCGTTAGGCCAAACACCACAAAAAGTTGGAATTTGGCTCCAAAAATAAATATTTACGCATGGAAAGAAATATTTATGTTGCATGCTCAAGGGTAAGAAATCCTAAGAATTTATTCTTCCCTGCTAAAAAGGATAAAGGAAAAAAAAGGAATTTTCTTAAAAATATTGTTTATCATGATGTCCTATAAGATTAAATTAAATTTAAATTATTTAGCCGTAAAGTAGTGTTTTTTGCGAAGTATTTTTCCAAACAAATCAGTTTATTCAAATTTCATCAACGGCTTTGCGAAATTGAACGAGTTTATAAATCTCGACAAAATATTTTAGTGGCAAGTTCAACAATAATAAATGATGTGAGACTTTCAACACGCGCTGTAAATAAATTCGAGTAAAAAATATAAACCGATAAATTCTGAGTTAATTCCTCATGTCTCAGCGTAACTCAGTAACGCCATAGACGAAATATATGCACTAGGAGAGGTCGATTTTGGAACCGTGGTATTGTCCGCGATTTTAAAATAATGATGAATAAAGATACAAAATATGTTTTTCTAAATCATTACTGTTTTTTGAGGAAACCATTTTGATTTTAAGTTTTGGTATTAAATTGTAGCATGGGAATTTCATTCTGTTGATCAGTGAAAGTCTTATAACACATCTTTATCAAATCTATAATTTTCTGGAGCTTTACTAATTTTATATGGACAAGATCCATGGCACAATCACATTATTACTAAATTATTCTGCCATCAGGTAAGACCTTAATTGACTTCAAAGGGATATTATACTGAACAATTTAGCTATATTATGATGTAATATACAATGCAGTTTAGTGCGATTTTCCATAAACAATGCAAATTTAAAACATGCAGTAATATAATGTTATATACACTTTTATGTATTTTTTGTTTTTATTAATTATGATCTAACAAATGATTTAAAAAATTTTATTCATTGAGTAGCCATTTTAAAAACCTTTTACAATTTCTTACACTGTTTTTATTTATCGAATACAATAAAAAATACATATTTTGCTTGTTGTGATTCATAATTAGAATTCTGGTTTGAATATGTTTTCCATTCAATGTATCTAATAAAACAATATCACCTTTATTTGGATTTATTCTTGAAAGAGTGAAATTTTCAAGTCAGTCTCTAGGCAAAAATCTGCGGAAATTAGGTATGTCTGTAGATTTTTAAGGCGTTCTTTAGAAGCAAATGCTCATAAATTGATAAAAGCTATGAATGTAAATTCTGGTGACAGTACTTAGAACATCATACCCCAACTTTTGCATTGGGTGCAATGTTCCTTTTTCAAAGAAAACTGAAAAATCAACAGCCTTAATATGCACTGCCACCGTGGCAACAATCGGTCTGTCTGTGGAAAAGTAGTCTATGGGAGTAGATTTCTCTTCGGAAACATTTTTTTTTCAGAATTATCCTTCTCCTAGAATTTTTATTCTATCAAAGCTAAAGTGACCCATTTACCCTATTGTTTACGAAGGATCGAATAATTCAGTGTTTCCTTTTTTTACCTTTATTTTTTTATACTGACTTCAACTAAAGTGAAGAGAGTCAAGCCTGTCTACTTTTTAATTCACAGCTGGAGAGGATATGGATTCGTACCATTTCCAATGAGTTAATTCAAAATTAGTGCTAAAGGACTCGATCAGAATTTTAACTCGCCACGCTGATTTCATCTTCCACGCCATTGATCTTGACGCAACGCGCACATTCACAATTTCGAATACGGATGTTTAAAACTTAAAACCTCTTGGCCCAACATGAAGAGTAAAATTTTCATACCGTGAACCCAGACTAATTCGATTAAATTACTGTAGGCGTTCTGGAAGCAAAGGAAATATTTGTCGCAGATTACTTTAAACAAACGCAGATAACAAATCACTGTAAGTTCAGACTCGAATATCGTCAGAAAGAAATGTCGAAAACTTGATTCGCAGGTACTATCTCACAAATCCGAATGCACGTAACCAGTCAGAAAAATAAGTCACTCTCCGACGAACGCGGTAGCCAAAATACACCAATTTTCATCCTCGATTCGAGAACAACAACTGCGTTTATCGGCCGAGCATTTCTTCCATTCGTCGACAACTGGGAGAGGACGACCAATTTTCGTATATCAACATATATTTTTTTACAACTACTCCAGCGACGGAATTGTTTTTAATTTAAACATTCTGTCTTCAGCATGTCATGCAGAATACGTGCCCTTTTTTTTTCTTTTTTTTGGGGATGGGTGGGTAAGTAATTTTCTTTTTCGCCACGTTTTCCGTCGTAGGATATACACAACACGCTGTCACTTGGTTTGTCCTGGTAAGACGATAAACTACATCCAACAGCAAGGCCTCTGATCAGGAGGTTTTGAGGAGCGTGGAACCACCTCCTAATTGCTGATGTTCCCAGGTCCACCTTGACCCGGGGTGATAGCACCTGTTAAGCTCCCAGCTATGGGTAAATAGTTAACCCCGAAACTCGGGTTAAAACAATATGAAAATGTAAAAAAAGGTTTAAATACCGAACTACTTTGTAAAATAAAAAAAATTATTACCAGCAATACATTTTTTGAAGAAAATATATTACCAGCAAAGGAAAATTCTTACCAGAAATAGATTTTTGAAGGAAAAAATATTAACAGAAATAGATTTTTTGGGGAAAAAATATAACCAACAATGAAAATTTTGTCGGCATTAAATAACCCATTGAGGTTGATATGCCGTAAAACAAAACAATCTTATCAAAGATGAAGAAGAGACTTCAGGCAACATAAATGTGGTTCTACAGAAGGATGCTGAGGATACCATGGACCGATTATGTGAGCAACGACGAAGTTTTTGAGAAAATGGAAACAAAAAGATACTTATACTTAACATCAGGAAGTGAGAATTGAAATTTCATGGGTACATAATGAGGAAAGTAGGCTTGGAAAATCTGATACTAACAGGACAGAGTGAAAGCAGTTCGAACCAACATCCTCATCTTAGTTGTTAAACTCGCAATATTTCGGCCGTTGTACACTTCGGCCTTCTTTAATTAATAGATGTGGGATGATAGTTATTATAGACTTTGTCCTTTGTATCAGCATGTGTATCTACAGCGTTATAGTCACGGCGTTTTATTTGTTGTACTCTCAGACCGTCTTTCATTATTAATATCGGAATTTTTCTGCTGAGGTATTGTCATTATTATATACTATTCTAATCGTCCCAGCACGGTAATTTAGGTTGTTATAGTGTTAAGGCCCTCCATCGAGGAGTTTGTAACACATTATTTATCATATCTCAGTTGCGTCTCTGTCTTTGGGCAGAGTGTGCTCAAGGGAAACTCCGTTAAAGGACAGAGTCGCAACTGAGAGGTGCCCAGCGCTGAGGAACAGCTACCCGAGGCCGCGCCCTCTCATTGCACCAGAGAGAGGGATCGGTGCTCTCACCGAGGCCAGCGCAACCGACGAAGGTCTGTGGGCAATTTTTGTTCCCGGCCTGGATGTACGCGCTCGGGTCTCCACCTTAAAAAAAAGACCTTTTGTCACAACTCGCCTTAGTGGAGACACAGACTAAATACCTAGTCACAACATTCCGGCAGCTATATTCTCCGGTCTTCTTTTATTATTTATATCGGAATTTCTGAGATGATGAATTATCGTTAATATATGTTTTGCTATTCAGACCAGCATATTCTTCTTGGGTCTTATACGCGCAACTTTTCGAACGTTATACTCTCCGGCCTTCTTCCAATATCTATGACGGAACATTTAAGATGAGGAATTATCGTTATTGCACGCTTTGATATTCGGATCGATATGTTCACCTTGGTCGTCATACTCACAACGTACTGGCCATTGTACTCTCCGACCTTCTCCAGGTGTCAATCGTCGTACTTGGTAACCTAAGAATTTTGAACGGAACCCTTTACCTAATCCCCGGCAGTCGATTGTTCTCATTCCGCTTTCCATGCTTAAGGGCGATAACTCCTATCAGTTCATTTTTCTCTCTTCTTCTCGGCAATAGGCAAGCTACCTGAAGACGGCTAGAGGGTATAACAGCTGAAAGTTTGTTAGAAAAACTGCCAAGGTGAACATGCTGGAAAGGATTGGCAAGGCTGATTCAGAATGATAATTCCTCATCTCAAAAATTACGACGTAAATTTAAGACATATGTTAGCAGGATACATAAAAACTCTAGACAACGCTAAGTAACTACCATTGTCCCCACCCAACAATTTAGTAAGTCATGGGAGTGTATGAAATAAAGAATTACTTCACTATTGTTGGCTTTGGGCAAGTAGATATCCCCTGTTTGTTATATTTGTATTAATAATTATATTTTTTTGGGGTGGGGGACGGGGATTCTTTTGCATTAGCGGAATGGATTTCTACAATTTTTTTCACCTCTCATTAAATCTTAGGCGAGCGTAACAAACAGATGAGGCAAGAAACGACAGCGTACGCCGAATTATTTCAATATTATTCTCTCTTCCAACCATTTCCCCGTCCACCTACTTTTTTTATATATCTCTTTTCCTCTCGCCCTCATTCGCTGGTTGTTCTACCTGTCTCTGTTTTATACTCTCTTTCTTTCCCCAGATATTTTCCTTACGAGTTCCTTGTCTTTTCTTTTGTTTTTCCTTTGTCTTGTTTTCTTTGTCTTTCTCTTTTTTTTTTAAACACTGAATTTTAGACTCTCCGGTATTTCGTTTCTTTACTTTCTCTTCTTGCTTCTCTCGTCCCGGCAAATCTTTCTCCATCTACGTACACTCTTTCTATATTTCTTTTCCTCTTTTCCTCACACACAAGCTCTGTTTTGCCTCCCTATCTTTATTTTATACTCTCTTTCTTTCCCCAGATATTTTTTCTCTCTATTCTTTTCTTCTCTTTCTCTTCTTTTTCAATCCTTGTCTTTTGTCTTTTCTTTTTCTTTTTCTTTTCAAACGAACATTTCACTCTCTCAAATGTTTTTTTCTGTCTTTCATTTCTCTTCGTGACGCCCTAATACTGCCACTCTTTTTCCTTATATCTACTTTATTTCCATCCCGTTTATTCTCCCCTCACCTTTTATTATTTATCATCATCATCAGTCTCTAGATGATGATGATGATGTCGTTGGGAGGGGGGGATCTAAGAGCATAAAAATCCCAGAAAAAAAAAAAAACCTCTTGAGGATAATCTGTTGGCTGTGGCTCTCAGGAGTTCCGGTATTGTCATCTCCTTCCACTCTTTGATTTCGTCTGACCAGCTCTTGGGTTGCCGTCCCCAATAATACTTCACGTGATGGTCTTGCAATGGCTGTAAAGATTTTCCAAGCGTAGCTTAGATGTAGCACAAGGCCGAAAACATAGGGCATTCAGTGAGGATCGAACTCACTTTTCAGTAGTAACTGACCTAGCAAAACAAGCTTGCTAACCATTACACCGCGCCGTTATGCCGTATGCGGTGGTCAAACCATAACACTTTTCTGCGCTTTATAACGGCGAGGAGTGGTTCCTGGAGGCCCACGAGTACATAGTCATTGGTTTTGTGCTTCCAGTAGGAGATGTGAAGGAGTTTTCTCAAGCTTTTTGTTCTCGAACGCCTGGATCCATTTTTTTTCAGTTTCAGCCAGAAGTGGCCAAGTCTCACACCAGAAAAAAAAAGAGATTGCAGGTGAACAAGATGGTCGTATGCATCCTCCTCATGTGTAATCACTTTTCCCCCTCTTTTTATTCTTCTACTCTCTTTCTATCCCTATTCCTCTTAAATTCCTCCTCCCTCCCTCCCTCTCTCTCTCTCTCTCTCTATCTATCTATCTATCTATCTAGGTAGCTAACTAGCTATCTTTCTACCTATCTTTCTCGTCTACATTTTCTGTCTTTCTCTTTTTGTTTTTGTCCCTTTTATCATCTTTCCTTGATATATGCACAATTTTTTCTCCACCCTCTCTACTTGCATTTGCTCTCCTTTTTCCTTCCTTTATAACACTTTTCTCTCTCTGCGTCACTCACTCACTCACTCACTCACTCACTCACTCACTCACTAACTCTATCTCTCACTCTTTATCTCTCTCTCTCTCTTTCTCACTCTCTCGCTCATTGCATCTTCTTTCCTGCTTCTTTATGCTCACTTTTCTCCCCTCTAATCTTTTTTTTTTCTAATTTGACCTCTGCTCTCCCCACTCTTCCTCTACCTTATCTCTTTTACTTTTCTCTTTTCCTCCCCGCCTCTTAAACTCCTAATCTTTCTCCCTTTCCTTTCTTGTGTCTTTTTCACGTCCCTTATTTCTCCCTTTCCTCTTGCTATGTCACCTTTGCCTTTCTTTTCTTATCCCTTCGTCTCTATGCTTTTTCTTCCATTTCCTCTAATTCATCTTTTAGAATTCTCTCTTTACCTCCTCTCCCTTCTTCGTCTCCCCACTGTACAGACGTTTCTTAATTCTCTTTTACACTCAAATCCATACCAGATTTCCCTGTCTACCGCCATTTTTACACACCCAGCATTAACAGAGAAATTTGACTGTTATGTAATGTCTATCCACTTATATAGCAATGCAATAATTCCTCGACAATTTCAGTACAAATAAAGGAAGGATCTTCGTGGGGGGAGCGATATATTTATAGAAAAGGATGCTAGGAATATCAAGGACAAATCATGTGACAAATGAGGAAGTTATGTGCCGAATAGCAACTACATAGAAATCGTTGTTAATCATAAAGAGACAGATGACATTTTGCAAACAAAAAATAAGAAATGAAAGCTGAAGGAAGTTTGAAATCACGAGACACATCGAACTTGTTCATATTCCACATTTTTTTTCGATCTAAATTCAATTAATAAGTACCTAACAATGACAAATTATAACAAAACGATAGGCCGAGTACTTATTAACTAAAAATGGATTAGTATTCATCACTGAATTCATAAAAAATAGTTTCCGATAAAAATATATATGGTGCAAAATAACTGATGATTGACTTGTCACTTGTCGAAACAAATATCAAGATACCATAAATATTGGTAGATGATATAAAAAATAGTATTTGATTGAGTCATAGATAATTTCCGTTTATCGATTATATTCTTAAGAAAATGCAGTAAAATTACATTTCATTCAATTCAATTTCATTTTTTTTTTAATTAATTCTTGAATCTAATTACATCCCTGTTATATAGGAATAAAGTGTCACTGTCGACAGTGGAGTTTGAACACAGATCACCAGAGAGCAAACACAGATGATTCCATTAGTTGGCTCCCTGTGCCGCGCCAGGAAATTTTTCTCCCCGGAATCGATCCTCCAGATCTACAAATCAACCATTCGCCCTTGCATGGAGTATTGCTGCCATATATGGTCTGGAGCCCCTTCTGTTTGCCTCGGGGTTCTTGATAGGCTCCAGAGGCGGATATGCAATATAATTGGCCCTGCTCTGATATCTCGTCTACAGTCGCTCTCTCACTGACGCGCCGTCGCCTCTCTCTGTCTGTTTTACAAATACTTTCATGGCAATTGCTCCGAGGAGCTGCATTCGCTGGTTCCCAGACTTCATGAGTTCAAGCGCCCTACGAAACTGGCATCCCGCTCTCACCCCTTCACTGTCGAAACTATTAAATTTAGCCGTCTCTTCTACTCTACTAGTTTCATGTCTCGCACCTCTCGCCTGTGGAACTCCCTTCTCTATTCCAGTTTCCCTGGGAGCTATAATCTCCAACTATTCAAGTGTAGTGTCAATCGACATCTCCAGTTGCCTTGATCTATCCACTACCCTCATCCTTTCTTCTATCACTCCTATCTGATCTCGCTCTATATTTTCTGTAACCCCTTGCATCCTAGTGGCTTCCCGCCTTGCTTGGGGTGAAATGCTTAAAAAAAATATGTAGTTCACGAGATAGTAAAGGAAACGTATATATGGGAATTAGCGTGATGTCTAAGTGATCACTATTTCTAGTCTATCCTGTATTACTATGCGGATCGCTATTCTCTAATTATTTCACTATACTGATCACGATACAGATTACTATACGATCGTTACTATTCGAGGGAGTATTATCGAGCAAGTACTATTAGTGTGAGTGATATTCGAAGGCGTCTGACACTAGTATTGTTCAACGGCGTTACTATAGTTGTATCTGCGATTACAAAGTCTCTACTACAACGAGCATTTACGAAAGTGACAACGAGTATACGTTGACATCCCCAAAGTGTCAACGAGGGTTCGTTGACATCACAAAAATCCCCAAATCCCATTTGGCATGTACTTAATTGAAATAATGCGGCAGTAGTTATAAATTTAGGAATGTATAATTATTCCCTACGGTCAGCAAATTGTTGAAACCGGGATGACAAATTGTTTGAGAGATTGATTCGTTTTCAACGGTTTGTCAACCCTTTGCTTGTTATTTAAAGCCAAAATCTTTTTTTTTTAATAGTAGGAATTGTTTATTAGGCTGATAATGATTTAGTGCTACAAGACTTACCGTTTACCCTATAATTAAGGTTATAATAGTGGGGGGGAAGAGGTGTAACTATACTTTTCCTAAGGGTATTTGCACGTAAGTGACTATAACGAACCTAACTGGAATTCGAAACCGGCTGTCCAGTTAACAATTCCGAGCTGTCATGCCTTACACAACCTGCACATCTAATCTTACTACACCTACTATTCCAGTGCAGTCACCCAGGCTCGACGTTGCTTAACTTCGGTGATCGTACGGGAGTCAGTGTTTCAACGTGATATGACCAATCGAAAGACATTCAGAGGTTGAGTATGAAATCATTTTCAAATTTCTCTTTTTTTTAGGGTTTAGCTAAAATGAACAGTTCTCCCTACTGCTCCAGTAAGTAGAGATTTTCCAAGCGTAGCTTAGATGTGGCCCAAGGCCGAAAGTACAGGGCATCTAGTGAGGATCGAACTCACTTTTCAGTAGTAACTGATCCAGCAAGACAAGCTTGCTAACCATTACACCACGCCGAGGATCTGTCTATATTTCTGAGATGAGGTATTATGTACATTATTTACATTAGTTCGGACTATTGTCCTCATCTTTGTCACCATATTTGTTACAACGTTTCGGCCTTTCAGTATCTGTCTATATTTCTGAGATGAGGTATTATGTACACTATTTACATTATTCAGACTATTGTCCTCATCTTTGTCGCCATATTTATTACAACGTTTCGGCCTTTCAGTATCTGTCTATATTTCTGAGATGAAGTCTTATGTATACTATTTACATTATTCGAACTATTGTCCTCATCTCTGTCGCCATATTTATTACAACGTTTCGGCCTTTCAGTATCTGTCTATATTTCTGAGATGAAGTATTATGTACGCTATTTACGTTAATTCGGACTATTGTCTTTGTCGCCATATTTATTACAACGTTTCGACCGTACGAACGTTGTACGCTCCGGCCTTCTTCAGGTGGCTGGAATGTCGAACTTAACCCTTTATTTCGCTCACTGGAATAGACTGTTCTAATTACACGTGTCATATTTAATGGATGTCAGTTATCAGTTATCTCCTGTTAATTCCCCTCTCCAAGTTCTCCACTGCCTTAACCGGGTATTGAACTCACACTCTTTGGGTGCTGTCACTGGATCTAACAAACGCTTTTATCCACTGGACACATGACACAGTGGATAAAGGCGTTAGTTAGATTCAGTGACATGACTCAAAGAGTGTGAGTTCAATACCCGGTTAAGGCAGTGGAGAAGTTGGAGAGGGGAATTAATGGGAGATAACTGACATCCATTAAACATGGCACGTGGAACTAGAAGCCAAATAAAGGGTTCAGTTCGACATTCCAAACATCTGAAGAAGAACGGAGCGTACAACGGCCGAAACGTTGTAATAAATATGGCGACAAAGATGAGGACAATATTCCGAATAATGTAAGTAATGTAATAATTATTCCTTCAAAAAAGTTATTGCTGGTATTAAAACCAATGTTTACATTTTCATAGTGCTTTGACCCTATTTGGGGATTAACGATTTGCCCATAACTGGGACCCAAACAGGTGCTACCACCCCGGGTCAGGGTGGATCTGGGAACACCAGCAATTAGAGGTGGATCCACGCTCCTCAAAACCTTCTGATCAGAGGCGTTGCTGTTG